ATGTGGGTCTCAAACAAAATTTAACATCACAAGCGGAGCAAATACAAATATAATATGATATTGTTGTTGATGTTTGATGAAAACGATGATTCTTAAAAAACTTATATGTATACACATTAAAAATTAAACTTTAGTTTTTTGTATTTTGTATCCACTGCCGTCTCCCTACTTCCTCCCCCAATCTCGAGTGATACTTTGCTTTCCCCCCTCTCTTTGCCAACAAAAATATTTCTATTAAAATAAAGCTAAATAATCCAACAAAAACAAAATAAAATTACAACTAAAAAAACTTTAGGATAGATTAGCCAGAGTCTTGAAACTTTTTCCAATCAGTAAGTGCGTGTCAAAATATGAGTGAAAATCACATCAACATATACATTTAGGTTTAGATCTTGGGGCATCGATCTATCTGCCCACCTTGAAATAAATGTGACTCTGGCACTAATTATAATTATAAGCATACAATATATACAACCCCTCTAAATTACAATTCAAGAAAACGATGAGATTGTGTGTTCTTCTTTCCTACTTGATCAAGGGACATATGCTTTTCACCTTTTCTTTACGGTTGGAAAGATATTGCAATGTTTTTCTCAAGTTCAAGGGGCATCACATCTAGAGTTGTCAATTAGCATTGGCCTTTGAAGGGTTGTGGCCTAAATAGAATTGAAAAAAATAGACGGGTTTGATCATAAAGGGCTTGAGCTCTAAAATCCAGTTTATCATTTTTTGCCCCATTTTTCAAGCCCAGCCTTATGTGAAGGATTCAGAGCCGAACTCACAAGCCCTGTTTTAAAAAATAAAAAAATTTAAATAAAATTAAGAATTATAAATTAATTAAAATATTAAAATTTTAAAAAAATCAAAATTCTCATAATTTTTTAGAAATTAAACAACAAATATTTAGAAGTCTAGTAATAAAATTCAAATCTTGATTAAAAAAGTGTTCATTTTTTATAAATACACAAACATAATAATTATAGAAAAATAAAAAATATTAGAAATTTTATATTGTACACTGATATTTATAAAATTATATTAAATTAATTGTAAAATGAATTAAAATTAATAATAATATAATGCGTATAAAATTAGGTGAGCAGGTCATTAGCTTCAAATACATATTCCAACAAAGAAAATAATAATATAACAGGGTTTGAAGGGTAGCTCAGGCCCGAGCTTTTTTTACAGGACTTATTAAAGCTAAGCTCTCAAGCTCGATTACTTTAAAAATTTATTTTTAAAGCCCAAACCCTAATTTAAACAGGGTCTCTAAGCTTAATCCTTCAAACTCGACCCTTATTCCCGGCTCAAAGCCTAAATGAGCTGATCTTAATAAGCTTAATTACATTTCAAAGATTCATTTTGTAACGGCTAGCCTTACAGCCTCGACCCTATTTTTTTAACTTAAGAACATAAAAAAAATTTATAATCCTTTAAAAAGTCATTATGCATGAGATTAAATCACCACTAGAAAAATGCAAATTAACGAGGGCTTATCTTTTTCTCTCTAAAATGCCAAATTAGCTAGGGATATTTATTTCATAGCTCGACTTAAAATTAGTGAGGAACTATCAATCCCTCTCTAAAATAAGAGAATTAGTGAGAAAAATAGTGAGAGATTGTTAATTTCTCTCTAAAATAAAAGAATTATTGAATTAGTGAGGAAATAATGAAAGACTGTCAATCCCTCTCTAAAATAAAATAATTAGCAAGAGATTTAGTAAGGAATTATATCCCTAACTAATTACTGCAAAAAAAAACTTTTGACAATGACTTTTAATTATATATTTAAATATTATAATTTTAAAAAATTAAATTTAAGAATCAACTAAAATATTCATAATAAAATTATTTAATATTCAATATTTTTTATTTTAAGTTGATTTTCATTAATAAAATAATATTTTATTAAATATAAAGAATAATTTTAATAAAATATACTCCCTCCGTTCAAAAATATAAGGCATTTTTTAAGGAATTAGATATTAAAAATGTAAGGTATTTTTAATCTTTTGAGGTGTAATCATTGCCTTTTTTCCAAAAGTGTCCCTATTAATAATGAGTTTATATTTATTATAGGGTATTTAATAGGGGTAAATATAAAAAAATATGGTTGGTTTAAAAGTAGGTAACTACTTTATCAAGGGGTGAGATTCGATTAAAAATACTTTATATTTTTGAACAGAGGGAGTAAATATTTTTAACATATTCATAATTGAAAAAAATTAATATATATGTATATGTGTGTGTATTTTATAATATATTATTTGATATATTTATATAATTAAGTAATATATATTTAATTTATTATATAATGACTGCAAGTGTTTTTCAGTTCAACTGATAAAGAAGGAGAGCATTAGGCTTGGGAGGTAAGTGGTTAAGGGTTAAAGTCTTGACTTTGATATAAATATAATGAATATGTAACACAATAAGGAGAAAGTGATATGGTGTAAAGTGGACAATAACATGTCATAAGTTGTCATTCATGTGGCAAGTAATGGGGTATGAGATGATAGATGATGTGGCGATTAATAAGGCACGAGCTTGTTAGCAATATGTTATAAGTTAACACACACATAGTAGGTGATGTAATATCACTATTTTTAAATATATGTATATTTAGCGAGGAGAATATAATATCTTGCTAAATTTATCGAGCTTTTTTTAGTTACGAATTTAATGAGAGACAAAATCCTTCACTAAAATATAATTTAATTAGGAAAAATGGCATTCATCGGGGGATTTGTCCCTCACTAAATTTCATTTTTTAATAGTAAATTTATATAAAAAAATCAAGTCAATTCATACCACAGTGAACATGTAAAATTTAAACATATAAGTCTAACATCAAATAACAACATTAAAATTAACATTAATAAAACTTAGATTTTGCTAGCATCATTAGTCAAATCTTGATGAATGGATGAGAGATGGAGGAATAAGTTTAGGGTTTTTATTTCTTCTAATTAGATGCTTGGTCATTTATCTTTTCATATTAATTTTTTAAAAATAAAAGGTATTAAATGAACAAACTCTTTTAAACTCAAATTATCATTTTCTATCATAAAATACCAACTTGACCCCAGCCATTTGTGGGTTTAAAAGGGCTAGCTTATTTACGGCTCTAAGACATTAAGTGTTTTTGAGAGAATTGTGAAAGAATGAAAATGTCTTCTAACCCACCATTACACCCTCCATTTTTAGTATAGGAAAAAATGTTATATGGTTTGTTTTTCATAAGTAAAAGTGAAAAAAAAGAAGTATTCATCAATTTTTTTTCAAAGTGTCTCTCATAAAATCAGAATTTATGTTCACGAGACAAACTTAATTTTTTTCACGCGGCAAAGATCCATTACAAGAATATTGTATTCCAATTTTTTTTAAAAATTTTAAATATAATTATTATGTCAAACCAAATTCTTTATACTCAAATTAGTTAAACCTTACTTACTTTAATGTGAATAAAGAAGGAGTATTTTGTAAAGTACTTCATCCGTCCTAATTTATAAGATATTTTTATAGGATATTTGACGTTTCAAATTATAAAATATTTTAACAAAGTTAAAGTTTTATTAATGATTTTTTTAAAATATTATGCTTCCCCATTACACTCTATCTCTATAATAACATTTTTTAAAACTTATATTAAAAAACATTTTAAAGCATATTCAACAAGCTTTATTAGTTTTAAAGAATAAAACTCATGTATGATAAATTAGGACTTACGAGTAATTAAGAATGGGGTTTATTAAAATAAAATAAAATACATAGACGTACCCTCTGTTTTACCTTAATTACTTAAACCTCTTTTTTATTTTAAAAACTTATACAAATCTCTCATAGAATTAACAATCACAAAACACAAACCCCTCATACTTTAAAGATTTTATTTCCATCCATCCAAGTCATAGTTGACCGTTAAATTACTTTTGTCAGACCAAAAGACCCCCTCTGCAAACATAAAATATTACCTAAAAATCATTTAAAACACAAAAAAATTAATTCATATTTTCACTTTTTTATTCGTATTCTTATTTTTAATCATGTAAAATTATTTATTAATTTTTTTAAAAATAAATATATAAGTTAGCTAAGGTAATATTTCAAACACACAACTCAATGAAACAGGCATTTAATATAATAAGATAAATTATTTAATATGATTTATGTTTATTTTTCTGCGTTATCAATTTGAAACAATTATTTTAAATTATTTATTTAAATGCTGTCATAATTAACTATTTAAAGTTCATTAAACTTGGAGGGAGAGAGTATAGAATTCGATTATAAGAGCAAGAAGTAATTGTAAATTTTCCAACGTACTTACAAGAAAAAATATACATTTTAAAATATTTAACGGTGCTAAAACATTAAAAATTAAAAATTGGATTAAAGTGTTGTTTTAGAAACACGAGGGAGACCCCTGTGATTTTAGTAAAATAAGAGGGACGCAACAGTAATTCACTCTAAAAAAAAAAAAAAGTAGTTAAGAATCGAAGCTTCAACCGTATCGTGATTCATATTTAAGTCACATACGTGGATCCTCCGCATCTTCTCCATTTTCAGGGCAAACCATACAAGCACGCATTCATTTTATATTAAAACCTTGACGGAGTTTCTTTAAATACCATAAATGCAAGCTCAATTATGCTAAACATTTACTCACTTAATGAATTTTAACGTGGAGTAGCATGTGTATGAATTTTATAGGAGAAACCGTTATTTTTAATGTTTTCTAACATAAACAATTCATATTTTTAATAAGCATTTATTACAAACTTCATTAATTATTCTTTATAACTTTATCATTAATTGTCATAAGAAATAATTCATGAAGGTTTGATTAATATAATTAATAAAGGATGTTGTAGTTTATTTTTTTTATTTTTAAATATAATTAATATATTTAATTAAATTTTTTTAAACTGCGTGGAACAATTTTTTTTTATAAATAAAAATGAAGGGAGCAATGACTCTTTGATGGAACAGAATTGATGGAGCCTCTCATCCTGCTACTGCTAGCATGGGCAACATTAATTGTTGAGCGTCACGAAGCTCTCTTTCTCTTTCCAGGCGTGCCTCCGAAGACGATAGTGCAGATCATCAACAATATCACTGATCCGCCTCAGGACTTGACTCTTCACTGTAAATCTAAGGACGATGATCTTGGGGAACACACAATCAGCGTGGGAGGGAAATACGAGTTCATATTCAGACCAAATGTTTTAAAACCAGTGACGTTGTTTTTTTGCAATTTCAGGTGGCCATCTGACACATCGTTTCACTACTTTGATATATATATTCAAAAACGAGACGAAGATAGTTGCTTGGACAAGGATGTTACCTTGTGTTATTGGAAAATATGGAAAGGAGGTGCGTGTAAATATGATAAGGACTTGAAAACCTACACCAATTGTTACCCATGGAACCCTGCTCCTGCTATTGTTGCGTCGTCCGTCATCAATACATCCTTTATCTAATTTTCCCTTTCAACCTTGCTATGATGGAAATCACGTGTTTCTCCCGTTTAATCATAAGCTTTATCTTAAAAAATATGAATGCTTTGTCTAGTTATAGAAATTTCTATATATCTTGAGATTTTAAGTTTATAATTTTAGAATACATATATAAACATCTTTTTTTAATATTTTTTCATTTTTTTCGTTTATATTTATAGAGATTGTGATCCTAATATTATTAGTTTATTACTCCTTTCATTTCAAATTATAAGATACTTCTGTAAGAGTTTTGCCATCACAAAATATAAGACACTATGAAAAAATTAAGATTTTATCAAACATGCTTATTTCAATATTATTCTTTCTCTCTCTACTTAATACTAATTCGGTGTGAATTTAAGGTTATTAAATGAATGGTATTTTTGAAAGTTTATATTTTTATTTTAAAAAAAATAAGGTTGTTAAGTGTATTTAATGAGGGTTATTAGTATATAATATTTTTATCTAAAAGTGTTTTATAATTTGAAATAGAGCGAGTAATTTAGAATATGTTCATATTTGTTTTTATACTTGCTTATTAATTTAGAATATATTCATATTTCTTTTTATACTTGTTTTTTTTTTAACCCTTTCCTAATACGCTTATTAGGTAATAGGTACAGGTATGCGTAATTTGTAGCTTAGAAATATGGATTAAAATATAAAAAAAAAAAACGGTTCCATCAATTTTGACTAATTCCACCAATTTCCTAATCATCTTATTTTTCTCCCATGTTTGGGCTGTGCAATGGATCAGTTGCCTATTGAACTAGTTAAATCGACGGACCCGATCAAATTCTTAATTAGAACAATTGCAAGTGATGTTGTTTGTCTTTTTTTTTTTTTTGGATTTCTAAAAGCAAATACAACTTTTCCTGTTTATAAAAAAACAAATACAAGGAGACTATATATAAAGGGAAATATTTTTAATGTCATAAATGCAAGTCCAATTAATTAGTAGATATTTACCCACCTTATTGAAATGCATGCGTGTGTACATATACATAATTAGATATGATCGAAAACGTCATGATGATTCACATCCCGAGTTTGATGTGCCGTATATATTACAGCATATATTTGTAGAAAAATCTGGTACCCCTCGTAAACCCAAATTAAATCAACATATATACGACTCTTTCACGAGAAATATAATATTATAAAACATATGGCTGCATTGGCGAAATTTCTCATCTTGCTACTATGGACGACAATGGTTGTTGAAGGCAACAGAGCTCTCTTTCCCTTCCCGGGCGTACCTTCGAAGACGATAGTACAGATCATAGATAATTTAACAGATCCACCTCAGAACTTGACGCTTCACTGCAAATCCAAGGACGATGATCTTGGAGAACACACAATCGGCGTGGGAAAGAACTACGAGTTCAAATTCAGATCCAACGTTTTAAAACCAGTAACGTTGTTTTTTTGCAGTTTCAGGTGGCCATCAGACGCTTCGTCTCACTCTTTTGACATATATGTTCAGAAACGAGACGAGAATAGTTGCGTGGAGCATAAAGGCGTTGCGTTGTGTTCCTGGAAAATATGGAAAGGAGGTGCGTGTAAGTATGATAGAGCCTTGAAGGCTCATACTATTTGCTATCGTTGGAACCACCCTCCCACTAATATTGTTGCATCGGCCATTGCCCATAGCCCAATACCACCATCTATCCTACTCTACGCTTGATAATAGCATGATATATCTCTATATCCATCTTCTTAACTTTTGCCTGAGTTATGGGATTGCCATTAAAATTTTAGAGGTAAAAAGTTATTTATTATTTTGACATGACTCTTTATTTATTAAATTAAACCAACTTTCCCTTCTATAAAATAGTACTCCCTTCATCCCAATCCCAAATTATAAAACATATATAAAGATAATTCAATATGTTAAAATACAAGACACTTTAATAAAAAAAGGTATTTGTTATTTATACTTATTCTAATATTACACTTCCCTTCTTGTTACATTTTCTCTCTCTATTCAATAGTTCATAAATAAGACTGTATTTAATGAAGGGTGTCTTTAAAAAGTTATACTTCCTCTGTCACAAATTATAAAATACTTTTAAAAAAAATTTAGCATTCTAAAATATAAGATACTTTGACAAAAATAAGGTTTTATTAATAATACTTTTTCAATATTATTTTTACCGTATATTCTTTTTCTTTAATATTCTCTTATTAATAGAGTATTAAATGAAGGTCATTTTTAAAAGTTTATATTTTTATCTTAAAAAGTAAGGTTGTAAAATGTGTTTAATAGAGTATTAAATGAAGGTCATTTTTAAAAATTTATATTGTTATCTTAAAAAATAAGGTTGTAAAGTGTGTTTAATAAATTTTATTGATATGTGAGATTTTATTTAAAAATATTGTATAAATTGAAATGAAGGGAGTACTTATTTTTTAAAAAAATTGAAAGAGATAAGTTTCATCAGCATGCATAATTTTATTTAAAAATAATTAATTAAATATGGATGGAGGGAGTACGTTTTTAGAGACAGTACTTTCGAGAAGTTGCCCCTCATTGACTACTTGTATAATGACCACCATTAAGATACGAATAAGGTTAAGCTTAAGCCTTAATCACAAGAGCATTTTTTTCTAAGCCTATCAATCTGAAACATAATTATTAAGACAGAGTAACTTTTCTTAAATTAGAGGAAACGATTAAAATTAATTTATATTTAAATAAATAGTACGCAGGAGGAAGTATAACTTGCCAAGATGAATATTATTAATTAATGGCGTGGATGCGTGTGAATGAGAACTTCACAGCTCACAGCTCACAGCTCACACGGCAAGGCTAATTATGACTATAAACATGAACGCGGTGGCCGTGGCACTCATAAACTCAAAACTTGCATCAAACAGAAGAACATTCTGATTGAGTGGGAAAGAAAATTAACAGTAACACCAATAAATGAATTTACATCATTTTGTCAATTAGGTAATGGAGAGTTTTAAATTAACTATCGCAATTTCAATGAGGCGTTAGTTGTTCTTTTACACATTTTGCCAATCATTTATTACTCTCCTTCTAATCCTATTTACTCTCTCTGTTTTTAAAAATAAGCATATTACTAGTTTAAATGTTTGAAGATAAAAAATTCAGATTAAAATATCCCTGTAATCAATAAAACAATAATTTAAATTTCAATTTAATAAGAGGCAATTGGAAAAAAATGTAACGATAGTTTTTTTAAAAAATTTTTTCACAGTTTTGCTTATTAAAAATCGATGAAACACATGACCGTTTCTTTTATAATAAAAAAGGAAGAAGTATAATAAGTCATTTCAAACATATTTTATATTTAAAATTTACTAACTTTGTTCAAAATTTTTAATGAGTTTTAAATTTTATCCATATCAAATACATGATTTAAATAGGAGGTAAAAAGAGAAAATTATAATAAGAAAATTAATGGCATAACTTATAAATAAAAATAAACAAACCATTTTGTCACTGTCTTATAAATAGTATCGAAAATAATATACTATGTATGTAAAAGTCTAATGATACACATGCGAGAGAGAGAGAGAGAGAGAGATTAATTTTTTAAACGCTGTATGTATGTGTGTGTTCATATTGTACGTGCGCCACACAAAACCTACACAATATCCAAGCGCGCTTAGTATTTATTTTTGTTTGCCACTGTATAGTGCACGTCCATACATAATAATGCAAAATCATTGCAGGTTTTTAAGGCATTGACTCATAATCAAGTATTAATGCTAATAAAGACAGAATGAGCAGCTCATGAATATAATAAATTAATAAAGACAAGTAATGTTATTAATTATTACCGTGACAAAATATTGATTCGACTGGATCAGAATTAGCTCACATGCATGCATATAGTTCTATAAAAAGGAAGGTGTCCGGTGTGAACTTGCTCCAATATCGAAAAGACATGGCTCCATCCATGAAGCCTCTAATTCTGTTGCTAACCATAGTTGCTGCAATGTTCAAAGGCGGCGACACTGGCCTTTTTCCGTCCAAGACAACCGTGCAAATCGTCAACACCTTGGCTCACCATGAGGACGTGACTATTCATTGCAAAGACAAACATAACGATCTTGGAGAGCACGTTCTCAAATTCAGAGAAATGTTTGAGTTCAGATTCAAGCCAAATCCTTTTCTAAAGGTCACTCTTTATTTTTGCAGTTTTTGGTGGCCAATATTGTCTGAACCTCATTACTTTGACATATACATACAAGAACGAGACACTTGCACAGTGTGTAATTGGCACGTAAATTATTATGGTCCTTGCTTATTTGGTGTTTGTTATCCTTGGCATTATAAGTATCAGCCACCATTATCAGCAGATGCTCCTCTTCCTCTTGCTGGATCAAATGCCAATATTACTCAATCTCTTCCATGATGATTGCTGGAATCAAACTGTAATAAGCTTTATATATATATATATATAGTGACGATGGTGATTCAATATTTGATATCCATGCATCTACTTTAATGCTTAAGCGTTGAGATTGACGCGGTATAAATCATCTAACCAGAATGTTTATCCATCATTTTAACATGATTAAATAATGTGGCTCCCATTTAACGGGTACTCCATCCTCCGAATTTACAAAAACAAAACTAAAAACTCAAAAGTCAAAACATTCATGTTTATTCTACTTTAATTTAGAGTATTCCTCGACCCGTCTGATTTATAAGAAAAAGATAATAATTTTTTTAGTTCTATCTATATAAAGGGTGTTATTGACTTCTTAACACAGTTTTTTATTTTTTGGTGTTTGGTAAAACATGTTGAAAATAAATTATAAATATAATCAAATGAAATATTTTGATTCTTGCCATAAAATACCTTCTATAAAAAAATGTATAGTCTTTATTATAAATCAGGGTATTAATTAATTTTTTTAAAAATTACCCTATTTAAAGTCATTAATCATAATAGAAAATGTAATGTAAATTTAAAAAGTTTTCATTTGAATATGGGTAAAATTGAAAACTTATTCACTTTTCAAGAGTACATCATCTCTTTGATTATGATAAAATGTTTAGAACAATCTTATAATAAGAAATGAATTTGAACGGGTTGACCCATGATTTCTCTCAACGCCATAAATGCTTACAAAGCAGCAGAGAATGAATATATTAATGACATGAAAGTGGTGCGAAATTGATTTGCAATGCCAGGCATGGGACATAAACTTGCATGGAAAAGAACAATTAATACATGGATTCATTGACCAAGCCTCAATATTTTTTGGTGGATCAAGTCTCAATTATTTTAATGTAAATGCTATTAAAGTCCTACAACAACCAAGTCTTATTAGTTTCACCGTAACAAGGCGGCTATTTCAGCAGGAAATTAAAGAATAAATAATTATATTTTATAATATTTCTTATCATTTCTTTGTTACGTCGGAATTTCCTAACAAGGGATAGTTTTGGTGGGAGATGCATCCTCAAAGTTTTCAGGATAGATATGGCATAAACAAAATAATTCCAGTCAAATAACTAACTTCAGGATAGATATGGCATGAACAAAATAATTTCAGTCAAATAACTAACAATTGCTTTGCTATTTACAAAGTTATAAAATCGGCATTACAATATAAAACCTCAAACGTATGTGCAAACGAAATCATTTCACATTCAGCAAGTTTCACCGGAAAAAATTTCACATTCATTAGCTTTATGACACGTGGATGCCCATGACGAGAAGACATTGCAGCTTTTGTTAAGAACAGTCAAATATTATTAAAAAAGATTACGACGTAAAAAGGCCTACAAAATCATGAAACTGATATCCCAGGCCCATGCACAAACATAGATACAAAAGCAAAAGACAAAACAAACCAAATACAAGAAAAAATCCACAAACCGAACTGAAACAACAACAGACTTTAATAACAGACAAAAACAAAAAACACAGATAAACTCCTTGCCTGCTAAACTGTTGAAACAGAGCGCCAAAGAGATCTGGAGAGAAATTGCTTCTAAACCTCCATACATTCGTACCCTCAAGAGAGACGAAGGATCATGAAGCAAGAGTAAATTTCCTTCAATTTGGGAACAAAGAGTCCTTCGTTGCCACAGTAACGAAGAAAGTTGGATGAGAGTGCTTCTAACTCCACTTTTTAACCAGTAAGGATTGTAGGTTGTAGTAGAGAACATAAACAAACATGCCCATTATCACTACCGAAGACCCAAAAAACACATTATTGAAGACTGAAGCCCGACGAAGCAACATATCTGAAGCTGACTCTCATCAAGACGAAGCTGTTCAGAGAACACAACATGAACATAACCATTGAAAGCTCAGCAAGCGAAGAGATGCATTGTGTTCTGTGAGACTGAACTTCAATGCTACCACACATCTCCTGTAGGATTTTGAAGTCCCTTGCATATTTTGATTATACAGAGAATGAAAGAAAGAAACAGGTGTCGCTTGAATGCTAAGCCGTCGTACCATAAAGACTTGCACAGAAAAGTAGCAGCATGAAGACACGAACAGGAAAAACCAGCACTGCATGCATGTAGGACCTCCAAGTGGCTGCAAGTAAACTTGAAGGTCCAACAGGAGATCGTGCAAGTATATGAGGTTTTTTTGGATCTCGTAGAAATCAGTCTGTGTGTTGGAGTTAGTTGACAGGGAAACCAACGAGCGCTTACGTTTTCGTTGAAAACCAATGCCAAGGCAGTTAAACGATCTCCTTTAGAATGTGAATGACAGAAGTAGTGGAACTGGCTTCGTGAATGAGAACTTCCACCTGGCATTTAATTTGCTGAAAAAAGAGGAAGAAAGATATGATGGAAAGACCGCGTGCGAGTAGTTTTCACTCAGTTGAATTGAGATGATGACAAGAGGTGGATGCAATAGAAGATCGTCGGCAGCTAGGATCCTTTAGTTAAACAGGGTAACGAGAAAAGAAAAAAAATTAATTTTATTTATAAAACACCTATCAATTTTTAATGTTCTTTTTTATATTTTTATTTTTATTAAATATTAATTTTATTAAATATTTTAAATAAAAATACTAATAATAAAATTTAAAAATATTTATTAGTAATAAAAATTTATTAAATTTTAAGACAGTTAATGAAATTTAAAATTTTTTTTAATTTCAATAAAATATATTAAAAGTGACATTTATAAATAAGACCAAAAAGAATATTCATTTTTCGAATCATTTAAAATGTTGAAACTTGTAAGTAGTCCCACAGAGGATATTCTAGTTATTACATTATATTTACAAAGACAAAACCGAAAAACTTACAAACATTAATGTATTTACATCAAAGGAAAATTAATTTCATAATCACACAATGAATGATAACACTCCCTCTGGTTTTAAATGTAACAGCTAGTTGAGAGGTTTATTTTGTCCTAAACGTGAGACTTTAGTCTACATTATCTCCTAATTTTTTTCTCATCTTATTTATTGATAACATATTAAAAAGGGTTTCTATCAATAAAATTAGTTCTTAATATAAATGATTAAATTGGAGTGTTTTAGGAAAATCAAGACACATTTTTTCACAAATATCTAACTTAATTAATTTTGTTAATTTTGTAAATAGCTCATTCAATTTGAATCGGAGGGAGTATTAATTAACCAAAGTCATTATAAAAGCAAATAAAACTTTTCTCTTTCTATATATTTTACTTTTATCTTGTTTCAAATATAAATTTTACATTTATCAGCTAAAAACGTGGGGAATCTTTCAAACAAAAGGCGGGGGAATCAAATCATCCCCCTCCTTAGCTCTTCAAAATAGCTGCCTTTCATTTACTTATTTTTCAAGAAATTAAATATTTTTATTTTACCTTTAAAAAATTAAAAATAATTGTCCTTTTGAGTTTTTTTAGTTTTTTTCCAATTTATTATTACTTTAAATTTTTGTGAATTGTTGATTGTTAATAAAAAACAAAAAAATGTCAAAGTCAAATACCACTGTATTAGCTTAATTTAAGCTATTTAACAGCTTTCCTCATTTGTGTGCATATATAATGTTAATTGCATATCTAAACACTAATACTAATAATGGCTTTCCCTTATATGTCCTAGCTAGTAATATAATTATTTCCAATTTTCTATAATTACATGCAGGCAAAAAAATTTTTAGAAACAATTAATATTTTTTATGTTCCCAAAGGTGAATACATAAAATTTATCTGGGGAGAACATGAATCTAAAAGCATAAATAGAAAGATCCAATTTGCACCAATTGTGAGGGCTGAGCATCAGTGCATATTAATTTCAAGGCATGCATTAATGGCATATCCAAATATTAATTCTAATAAACATAATTATTTCTTTTCATTAATGCAGTAATCAATATTACCATATGCAGTAAAAATATTGATCAGATGGGGATCAAAATTAACCCACTCACAGTCATATAAAAAGGGAGGTACGTGGTGAGAGCTCATTGCATATCACTTGAAGAAAATAAGACATGGCTCCGATATTATCTCTGAAGCCTCTGCTTTTGGTCACAGCCATAGTTGCTGCAATGTGCCAAGGTGGCGAGACAGGTCTTCTTCCTCCAAAAACAACAGTCCAAATCATCAATACCTTGCCTAAGCACGAGGACTTGACACTTCATTGCAAAGACAAGCATCATGATCTTGGGGAGCACACTCTGAAATTCGAAGAGTCGTTTGAATTCAGATTCAGGCCAAATCTTATGATGAATTCGACTCTTTATTTCTGTAGTTTTTGGTGGCAATCAGGAGAACCTCGTTACTTTGACATATACAAACAGGAACGAGACAAGTGCAAGGTGTGTACTTGGAAAGTAACTGAGTATGGTCCTTGCTTGTTCGGCGTTTGCTATCCCTGGAATAAGTCTCAACCGCGGTCAACGCTTGTTCCTGATAACCTTGACCGTGTTATTACATCAAATGCCAAAATTACCCGATCTCGTCCCTGATCATTAAAATCACATGCTTAGTATAATCACCTTTATATCTATGTTTGTCATCGATCAACTTTGTTTCAATTTTTAGGTGCCTTGAAACTAACGTGGCATGAAATATACTCCCTTGTTTCAAACATAAAGTGTGCTGGAACTGGAAATATATACAAGACATTTTGTGGATTTTTAAGGATAATTAATGTTTTTCCCTAAAATAAATTTTCATAAAAATATCAAACTATCTCACCTCTCTTCATTAATATGATCCATTTCCTTTTGCATATTTATTAAAAAGAGAACAAGTTGAAAAAAAATATTAACTATCAAAATGATTCTTTTGGCATGTTTGAATTAAGTAAAAATATCAGTTATGTAACTAAATTAGTTTTGTAGATAGTGAAAAAAAGGTCAGACTTACAAGATCATACAAAAAAGTTTACTTCTTTTCATTTCAATTTTTTTCATCTTTAATCTCTTAGCGAATATACGTTTTGGATTGAATACATTAACAAAAATTTCTAGCACGATTAATTGAATATCCAGGTATAAATGTGGGATTTATGAAATTTATTATTATTCCCTCCAATCCTATTTATGATTCATTTTTTCCATGTTTTACTGTAACTAAAAAATGAGTTAAAATTGATTTTCTTTAAAAATTTAACAAATTTTTCATTTTATGATCTATTAAATATATATATATATATATTTTAATGATGTATTTTTACGATCACTATCATTGTTTAATGGGATAAAAGTTATGAAATTTCTGATGAAAATGAAGTCAAATACATGCCATATAAATCAGATAAAAAATGATTCTCTCTTTATCTTATATAATAAAACGAGTGGAAGTATTTGTATAGAAAATACCAATCAATATTCAGGAAAGATAATTTACTCAACCTGTGGCAAGATTATAAATTTGTACTACTTTCATTTTAATTTATAAGACATTTTCAAATAAGATCATGCACACCAATAAAGTTTATTAAATATATTTTATAACTTTTTATTTTTCAAAATAAAAATATACTTCCTCCATTAAAAAATATAAGGCATTTTTAGTATTTTGAGGTATAATTATTATTTTTTTAAAAAGTGTCTCTATTGATGAATGACTTTATATTTGTTGTAGGGTATTTGATAGAGATAATATAAAAAAATAGGGTTAGTTTCAAAATAAATAACTACTTTATTGAGAGGTAAGATTTAATTAAAAATGCCTTACATTTTGAATGAAGAGAGTAAAATTTTAAAAATATCATTAATTTAATACTCTATTTATATAAGAATATTAAACAGATAATACAGAAAAATGATAATGCTGAAGAAATATTTTTTTAATGAATTTAAAATCTTAATTTTTGTTAAGAAATGTCTTAGGAGTATAAGTTTTGACGGAAAAGGTAACGACTAAGAAGTAAGATTTTTTTTTTGGGGGGGGGGGTAGCAGGCGAAATTTTATCCGGGAAAGAATAGAGAGAACAAAAATCTAAAATCATAAATAGATAGCAGATCCAATTTGCAAAAATCTTGAGGTCCGAAAATCGTTGCAAAACTTAAGGCATTAATGGCATATTAATAGTTTAATACTAATAAATACTATAAGGATTTATTTTCGTTAATGCAACGATCATCATTACCAGATAAAATTAACTCATTCTCAGTGATCATAAAAAAGAGAGGCGTATGGCAAGGACTTGTTGCATCTCACTTGAAGGAAACAAGACACGGCTCCATTAATGAAGTCTCTACTATTACTGTTAACAATGGCTGCCGCAACGCAGAAATGTGGCGAGTCGTTTTCAATCATTCCGTCAAAAACGACGGTGATAGTCCAGAAATCTGATAAGTAGCCAAGAGGATCTGTCGTTTCATTGCAGATCCAACGACGACGATCTCGGAGAGCAGAACATCAAATACGGACAAACGTGGGAGTTCAGATTCAGGCCAAACCCGATCTGGGAATCAACGCTGTACCACTGCCAATTCTGGTGGCCCTCACCGGCTTCGCCTCCTCACCATTTTGACATATACCGACAGAGACGAGACTATTGGTGCAAAGTGTGTGCTTGGGGCATATACGACTCTGGTCCTTGCATTTCTCGTACGCTTGTTTGCTATGTCTGGGCCTCTACACCTCAATCAACTTCATCACCATCTCATGCCCCTCCCCTCATGTTCCTCCCTCTACTTCACACAATGTCATCCAATAATCCTATCTCTCGCTGTGTTCAGATCATGCATGTATATACATATCTAATGTTAAAACTCTCTGTGCTAATTATTCTCATTTCCCCCCCGAAATTGATATGGACATGATTTAATGTTAGTAATTTATTCAAATTTCAAACTGCATTGGCTCTTGAAGAGGAGGATTGGTGTATTTTTTTGCTCATGCATAATACTTAAAATTCAATAATAGCTTAAGTTTTTCGATGTGGAATTATCATACCTATTATATTTTCTTTACTATTTTTTCGTTTATTTCTTGTTTTCCTTTTTTTTTTAAGACCAAAATCAACCTTGACTCTGATACCATATTAGAGTTTTATATTAATCACAAATTGAGGCTTGCCACTTGCATTATCAAAATAGCTTAAACTTTTATACAAAGACTCACTACACATTTATATATTATGATGAATTCTTTAATCATCCAATGCGAGACTATCATACATACTTAAACATATTTCTACATGTGTTTGGAAATGAAGGGAGAAGATGAGGAGAGAGAAAATGGATAAGAGATAATATTAAGAGAAAAAAACTCTAAAAAATATAAAAATGATTTGAGTTATACCCCCATAATACTTTCAATCCTAACTTTCCTCTCATCCAAGTCTAAAGCTAGTGTTAAATTAAAAATTTATTACTTGATCTTATTTTAATTCCAAACACCAAAACTTAAATGGGTTAAAGTGAATTTTCTCTCGTACTTTTCTTCGAGAGGCATTGGATGCTCTATACTAATAAATAATATTTTTTTCTCCTAAATCATTTACTAGGTGGGCAAAAATTTTCTTTATAAGTGATCCGTTAACTTTGTTATTTTCTACTAATGTGGCATGTCTTTTGATATTAATTTTTTATCTTTGAATTTTTTTAAGAGTGTTGGGCATTGTGAAGTCATTTTAAAATAAAATTTAATAAATATTATTAAAATATTTAATATTTATTAATAAAAATGATATTTTAAGAACATTAATATTAATTAACTCTCTTAAATTTTTAAGTCATTATATGTAATATGTTCAAATTAATGGATATTTAGAACCAAATTGTAGCTTGTTTTAATTAATATTTTCATATAATGCAACATTTTTATAATTTTAAAATTGAGGAAATGAGTTACAAATTTTCTATAATTTATTCAGAATACTATTGTTATATTATTTACAAATATTCACATACAATTTATAAGTCATTTATAAATTTTTAAAAATTAGTTCAAGTTATTAATATTTAAAAATAATTTATAATTTTTTAATGAATATTTATAAATAATAAAATTTAAAATTAGATATTAAAAAGCTAAATATTTTAAAAATATTTATTATAATTAAATTTATTTTAATAGCATTTCAAAGCTCAACACTCCTAAAAAAATTTAACGGACAAATTAATATCAAAAGACATGTCATATAAAAAATGATAAAGTTAATGAATTTTAATGAAAGGATTTTTGTTCATTTGAAAAATAGTTTAAAGAAAAAAAATATCTTACTTATTAGTGGAAGGTGCCTAATTGTTAAAAAAATGCAGAAAAAAAAATTAATCCAAATTTAATTATCAATTCAGGTATTTGTCATTCACTTGAAATCCCACATCCACACGGTGATGACAGCTTGCAGAGGGAAGGAAATGGGATGACAGGGATTTGCTGATTTTGCTCCCATCTCGTTGTTTGGTTATGTTAAATGGATGGGACGTGGGAGTCATTCATTTTCCCTCGTTTTGTTAAGACGGGAAACTGGGGGGGACAGAGGAAGATTACAGAAATTTTCCTCTTTGAGAAAGAAGAGGGGGTGGGGGCTTGTATTAGTTGAGAGCAACGACACAAACGAAGAAAATTTTCCCATCGTATCTTTGACAAAATATAAATCTCGAGGAACTGTTTTATTTAGAAAAGCAGTATAAGAGAGAAAAATCAATTTCAGTGTATGTAATACCCCATATAGCAACAGACATCACGCCATGCCCATGGAAATGTATTTGGTGACAATACAATGGATGAGCTGGTTAAAAAACAATACAATGAATGGAAATAATTATTAAAGCAACACAATAAATATAATGTCACTCCGAAGTCAATGCAAAGACCAACACATAACATTAATTGCACACACATTTATATATATATATATATATATATATATTTGGTCTTTACTATATATATGGAAATTTTTAGAAGAAATTGTTGGTATTAATACTCTTTCTGTCCTAAATTATAAAATATTTTAAATAAAATTTTACTTATTAATAAAACTTATTAAAAATACTTTATAACTTTACATTTTTAAAATAGAAATACAAACTTTTAAAAATACTTTTAATTTAATACTTCATTTGTTAAAGAATATCAAAGAAAGAAAATATATAGAAGTGTAATATTGAAAAGTCATTATTAATAAAATTTTATTTTTATTAAAGTATCTTATATTTTAAGATGTCAAATCTTCTCCCAAAATTCTTATAACTTTGGATGAATACTTGGTGAAATACTTAGTTAGTACATTTAATTTTTAATATTATTTTTATTTAAACGTATTACTCCACTAGTCCTATTTATATGATACAAAGAGAAAAAAATAGTTCTATTTATAAGGTATTTGTCAATTTAATATTTTTCTTTATATTTTTACTTTTATTAAATGCTTCAAATAAAAATATTAGTAATGAGATTTAAGAATATTTATTAGAGATAAAGGTGAAAACTTATTAAATTTTAAAATAAAGTTAGTGAAGTTTGTAATTTTTTTTGGTTTCGATAAAACATGTTAAAAATGATTTATAAATAGGATCAGAGAAAGTAACTATGAAAGAAAATGTAATATAAATTTGAAATATTTTAATTTAAATATAAGTAAAGTTACAAGTTTGATCTTTTTTAAATAAAATTAATGATTTAATCACCCATCTTTTATTTTATTGGAGGTACCTTAATTATAATGGAGACCAGATGGAGTAAATCAAAACAATATTAATGCTGTCCAGATAAATGTGAAAATGGAAAAATCACTATTATTGCCACAATAAACATGAATGAATTAATAACATTCAATATAATCAATTTAATAATATTAAAGTTAATAGTAGCATGATGAGCGAAAATCGCAAAATCACTATTATTGTCACAATAAATATGGATAAATAATAATATTCAATATAATTAATTTAATAAGGTCAACTGGATCTCAAGTCATGGTGATATAAGAAAGGGACGTGGGGGATGAACTTGTTGCACAAATTAAGGAAAACACTTAAATCAAGATGGCTCCGTCTATGAAACATCTGCTTCTACTGCTAACGATAGCAGCGGCGATATCGGTGAAGAGTGGGAAGGCGTCTTTATTTCCTAAAAGAACAACAGTGCAAATCATCAACAACTTATCGAATCACCAGAATCTGACTCTTCATTGCAAAGATAAGGAATTTGATCTTTCAGAGCACGTACTCGAAGAGGGAGCGATGTACCAGTTCAAATTCTTTAAAAATCCTTTTCTGAATAATACACTGTATTTTTGCCATTTTCAGTGGCCATCAGATACCTCGTTTCACTACTTCGACATATACATAGAGGAACGAGACTATTGGTGCGAGATCTGTACCTGGAAAATCAAAGAATCCGGTCCCTGCCAAAATCAGTGCTTTCCTTGGAACCACGATTCTAAGCAGCAATCTACAATTTCGCCTGTTGGCTTCGTTGCTCTATCTGATATCAAGACTGCCCAGTCTCGTCATACTTGAGTAATGAGGTGTTGTGAGAGATCTCTATAACCCATGTATCAGCTTCTATTGTGATATATGTTTGAGGTGAAATTAACGTGCCTCACCTCGAGTATCAAATTTGATTGTTGGCAATAACGCTCCTCGAGCATGCCTTATCCATTATTTTAACAAATGCTACAACATATATCTGAACCTTTCTGTGATTCGTAAGAGATAAATATCTAAAAGGAAGAAAAAAAGGAAATCCACATAGGGTAAACATTGGAAGCATAAATTATAGAGTCGATAATATTAACTATATCACGATGATTATATTCTTTAAAACGGTTAAAGGATAAAAATATTTATCAACTTTTTCTCTAAATACACTCAATATTTTTAGGTGAATGATGGTGAAATAATGCCTATAACATCAATAAAGTAGATGGAAAAGTGCCCAGTAGTTAAATTTGAATAACGTTCATTAATATTTATAGTTAAAATAAAGGAAATAAACATGAGATATAAAAATATCCACAATTTTTTTTTTCTAGGAGCTCATAGCATCATAAAGTCAAGAATGATGCATGGATATCTATTAATGTTATAAGATAGACTGACATTTTTCAATCTATTAAGTTCTATTCTTAAAACTTTACAGTCCATATTAAGATATTTTAATGGATCAGGAGATGTTAGATGCAGTAATTTAAGTCAAGTTTGATGTGTTAGCTTGAGTAAGTTAAAAAAATTTTAGTATCGAGCTTGGGAGTTTAATTATTTTGGACTTATTCGGATTGCTCGAATAAGCCTAAAAAAAAAAAATTAGGCTAAGCCCAAGTCCGAATTGATTTAGATTGAAATAAAATTAAAATGAGATCAAAATTAAAAATTTTAATTTTTAAGATAACAATTGAAATTGACTAAAAACATAATAAAATAAAAAAATATTTTATAATTCAAGTATTTGAAAAATAAGCTTGAAAGCCTAAATTGTTTGAATTGAGCTTGATTATATAGCCAATTATATTTTATAAAGTTAACATATATTCATTTACCATTATTGATTTAAGAATGTTGAAAGCTTTGAAATAAAAAAGTTTATGAATATTTTCACACCTTATGTTTATATTTTTTGAGACAATCAGTGTTAACGGACATTATTTAAATTTAACAATTTGAATATTTTTACACTCATTTCAATAGCGTTATGAATACTATTATACAGTTCTTTATTTAAGGATGCAGGTGCTTCTAAAGAAAATTGATGGAATTTTTTTCTCTTTAACCCTTACGTTGTATGTTAATGTCCTTGTTGCGGAAATGAATTGTTTGAGAAGCATGTACAGCAATGATTGGTTAAAATCATTTTCAGAATCATGTTGACTATGAAAGTGCAATGGCAATGGTAGAGATCGATGGCTATATCCTGAATGAGTTTATATTAAGATATTCTGAAAAATACAAAGCATTTTTTTAATGCAGTATATTAAAAAAAAAATTTGGGTCTTTCAAGATACAATATAATTAATGATTTTTTTTGAAAGGCACCCTTAATTAGAAGTGTAATTAATAAAAATTTTTAATCAAAAGACTCTATTAAATAAAAAAAAACTTGAAAAGAGTATGTAATTTTAGAGATAATTAACTAAATTATTATTGAGATGCACAATTCAATTAAAAATGCTTTTATAATATTAAATGAAAAGAGTATTTGAGGATAAAGGTTCTTAGTTGAAGTGATTGACCCGACTAACTCATACTGTCTTTAATTCAAAATATAAGTATATTTTAACAGTAATTCACATACCAATAAAATATTTATTCTGATAAAATATATATATATATATATATATATATTTACTTTTAGTTCTAATCTATGATGAGTGAGAATAAAGTTATTGATATTAAAATTAAAGTTAATAAATATGAGAGGTAAAATAGAATTTTTTTTTACAAAAACTAAATTGTTTATATTTTAAACAATGATTGATTGAGAGAGAATCTTTATGCTTTGGACAGAGGGAGTATGAACCTATCTACCAAGCAATATTGGAAGCTTGAAAACTTTGAAGCATTAATTGCAGAGTGTAATAGGAAAAGTACGAAACGTTATTACAGTAATAATTATGGATGAAAGTAAGCAGCATAGCTAATGTTGTTTGAACAAGATCAAATTAACTCGTCCAACAAGGTCATATAAGGAGGACGGCACGGTGTACGTACGGCATGAACTGGTTGCGCCATCAGATCCACATCCGAAGAAGGAAACAAGATGGCTCGTTATATGCAGTCACTGCTTCTGCTGCTGCTAGCAATGGTAGTTGCAATAATGTCTCAATAACTCCAAAGGTAACGGTGCAAATACTGGATGGCTTGTCTCAAAATCAGGACTTGACTCTTCACTGCAAATCCAAGGACGACGATCTTGGAGTACACACCATAAAAAAAAAAAAAGCAACTTACGAGTTCACATTCAGGCCAAGGTATTTTATTCACAGCACACAGTTTTTCTGCAGCTTTTGGTGGCCTTCAAACACTTCGCTTCACTGCTTCGACATATACATGCAAGACCGAGACTGGTGCTGCGCTGTATGCTTTTGGACAATATGGGAATCAGGACCTTGTATAAGCGACGATCTCACTGGCTATATTGACTGCTATCCTTGGAATTCTGTCTAATACCTTCGACAAGTATCAATATGTCAGTATATTTACATACCCCGTCTTCGCAGAGCGAGACAAGAATTTGTTTGGCTTTATTTATAAATCACCTCCTTAATTATTTATTATAATTTTTTCTTTTATCTCATCATTAAATATTGGTGAGAACAGGAACAAAATTAAACATTTATTAAAATTTTAATAAGAATTGATGAGTTTTAATTTTTTCTTAATTTTAATAAAATATATTAAAAGTGATTTGTAAATAAAATAAGAAGACTAGCCTCCAATCTCATCTATAATTATTGAAGCAACTTATCTCTTCCCTTCCCAAATCAACACTATGACTTCCTATGTAGATTTAAAGTTTAAAGTTAATATTAATTATATTTTATTTTAATAAATTCAATTGTTTAAGAAGGAAAGGGCAGGGGCAGGGCAAGTTAGCGACGCTGCGTTTGGTCTAAACGACATCGTTTTCGTCCCCGGTATTAGGTATTGTGTTGTGCTTCGGGGAGGGGCAACGAGACGCAAGCCGTGGCGATGGCTGAAGACAAGGCGGGGAAGGAAGGTTCTGAGCTGCTTGGCTCGCCGACCTTCAAAGAGCTCGAGAATGGTCGCTTCAGATGCGTGGAAACTGGACACGAGCTGTTCGCCAAGGACACGGACTCCTACTCTCACAGCAAAAAGTGCCGATTAGGTCTCATCGACTTTGCCTTGGCCCATAATAATCCCCCTTTCAATATGTTCAAGCAAGACCCGCTCTCCCGGTAATTCCCTCGTGTTTTTAAAATCTTCACCTCCATCTTGGGTTTTCCATAGAATTAACTTCGTATGTCAACTCCTAGGCGATTTTAATTCAAATCACAATGAGCATTGTTTTGATATGTGCAAGCTATATTTGAAAACCAATGGAGTGGAACTGTTTTGGATTTCTTTTTGTTTTTTTTTTTGCTTTTATCTTCGATTCAATAAGCGGATGTGCGCAGAATGGAAAGCGAGCTATCCGCTAGGCTATACTGTGAATTTATTTTATTTGATGTGTCTGTTTATTCCTTGGATTATTTATGAATAACAGAATGGGATAACATAGACATTGGTTCCGCATTGCAGTTCAAAGTTGATATGTAAATTGACTGGAGACACCGTCAACAAGTCAGAGGAACATATCTGGAAGCATATGAATGGGAAAAAATTTCTCAATAAACTAGGTCTGTCGACTGTCATAAACTATATACACTTAGTTTTGGGTGTTTGGGAATCTTGAGAATTTCCAAATAGTGAAGTGATGTTCCGGTTTCTCATTATTGCTCGTGGTTTTAATTTGCGAGTGCATGAGAAATTGTAGATATTTATTAACTAATGTATTTGAACTTCTGAGAGCAGAGCAAAAGGAAGCAGAGAAGTTGTCGTGTAATGGAATGGAAGAAGGGGAGAGCAAACCAGGGCCGCTAAGTCCAGATGGTGGGAAGAAGGATAATAATAAGAAGGCAAAGAAGAACAAGGGAATTGAAGAAATCAAATCTGAAGTACGGAAGTCTTCTAACGAGGATAGTGACTCTGAAGAGGCAGAATTCTGGGTGCCTCCTGTTGGAGATCGCTGGGACTTTGATGATGGAGGAGATCGATGGGGCTCAGGAACAGAGTCAGAGCAGGAAAGTGAAGAGGGTGATGAAATTGGTATGTTTCTCTCCTGCTGATTTCAGTTGATTTATTATCAACGTCACGTTTGGTTTCTTTCATCAGCTGCTTTGTCATGGTCATAGAAAGTGTTAACAAGGCGGAAAATTAGTTGTAATGGTTTGGGATATAAGCAAGATAATATGATTGGGAGTGAAAACTTCCCAATAAATGCTATTGATAAGTAGGGGGAAACTTGATGGGCAGAGACTGAATTTCCAATAAACGATTGCATAATGGTACATGTACAATCTAAAGATTCAGTTAGATGCAAAATCTTATCCTGTCTGCTATGTGACAAATCTTATTTTGCGATAAAACATAAGTAGATTATCTTGTCAACAAATTATGTGAAGTGACAACATTTTGTCCCAATGGATAGAGCAGCTTTTTAAGTGCGTCAAGCTCAAGCTTGACTTGGGTTTCTCATATGTGTTTTGATGAACTTATACAAAAGATAAATTAATAATTGAGTAAATGGTGTTACCGCAGATGTTGCTGTAGATGGAAATTCCAAGGATTCAGAAGAGCTATCTTCTCGGTATGTTGCAAAATTATGGAATGGATGAATTTCATTTAAAATTATTTTTTCTAGATTTCATGTGCAAATTTTCAGATCGCACAGTATCTGTTGAACTTAGCTTTCCCCCTACCTTGCAGGACGAAAAGGATGTCTGTGGAAATTGGACCCAGTAGCTTTGCCTCGAGGAAGAAGAAAAGTAAGAAGAACCACCAAAGCTAGTATCCATTGGTAATGCAAATTTTGTGGTTATATGCTTGACAGGATAGTAAGTGAGGATTTTCAAATTCAAGATTCAAGGTGCTGCTGCTTCTACATTACATTCTGTAAGATAGGCTTGACTCAACTTTCTTGTGTGTCAATGGTTTGTTGCAAATCCATTGCTATAATTGCTGCCCTTTTTCACTCTTTTTGCTTCTTTTGGACAGGCAGCAAGTTTCGCAGTTGATGCTTTAGTGATTTAGAATATAATTTAATTCATGATTTCATCTGCTACGGTCTAATACTCCTCGTTAATCGTGATATCATGTTTTGCTTGACATATTTGCGTAAGCCTGGTAACTTTCCAAGGTTTGTTAAGCGCCAGGCATTAATTAAAAGAGTACAGACTAGAGCGGGAATGGTGTATTTTCAAATTTCCTCCAAAGTCCAATTCGCACAATCTTGTCTGTGTTGATGAAAAGTGAGAATATAATTTTGTAAAAGAAAGCTTAAAAACTCTTTTTTTTTAATGGGCTCGCAGGTTTTGTGGAAAAGCGGAATTGGGCCATTTAATGTTACATTCTCCCTTGTGCTGGAGATATAAATGTAGAGACAATAGATTGAGAATCAGATTTTGAAATTAAGCCGACATGTTTAATTGGGGTGAAACTGTATTTCCATGAGTTCGAAGCAAAAGAACATGACAGTTGGGGTTCATAATTCCTTTGTAATCAAAAGTTTGACTTTCAGATATTCGATAAAATTTAATTTTAAGGAGAATCTGATTCTAATTGAGAAAGAAATTATTGCTACAAAATATTTTACCGTAGGCTTTTTAAAATGTAAGTCGGGAGTAAATTTTACCGTAGGCTTTAGGCATGTAGAGTTTTAAATTTTAATTTTTCCTTAAAATTGTAAAGAATGCACTAGTATTATGTATTTTTTTTTAGTAATTCATGCGCTTGTTTCTTGTAGAAATTAGAATTAAAAAGTCATTTAAACTTTAATCTATGTCACTATGTCAGGTTGCGAACTGAACAATTATAAGCTATAAAATGTGATTGTAGTATGCATAAAATACCACGAACTCAACAACCCACGCGTTACAGAAGAGGAATGCTACTGTGGTCCAGTCATTTTTAAGTAGTATAGAGCCAGGAAGAACTTTGCAAAGGATAAAAATCAGATCAAGTCAAAATTCACAAGGTTTTTTGGCACCCTAAAGTGGATTGTGTAAAATCTTAATGTTTAAATTATCATTAAAAATTTGGCAAATAATTCAATGCACACATTTATTAACTTCTCTCTAAATACGTGATTAAAAGTGGTTGTCCTGTTCTTCATGACATTCCGTTTAACATGCGATTCGGGGTATTAGCATTTAAGAAGCAATTACCTTTAGGGAATGGTCAGTAAAGCGTTGGGTAGAGTCAAAAGGTGAAATCAAAATGGTTAAATGGGAGCCGACAGTGGCGCACCCAGAGATTGAGGTTGAGGTTGAGGTTGATGATGCTAATGAAGATTGAGGAAGACGACTAGACCTAGTAAAGCATGCTAAAGCCTCCTAGGCGTCAAAGGGAGGGATCCACCACGGCTCGCGATTTTAATCATTTTATATTGAATTCTGATGACCACCAAACTGGGCAGAAAGACGATGATGGCGAGAGAGAGAGAAGCCCCGTCTCTAAGTTATGTTACGTGTTATGTCAGAATCATTTCCATTTCCAACCAAAAAGAAGAAGAAGAAGGAGTGGGATTATATAGTTGTGTCGAGTCTGTACCGGCCAGCACCCGCCAGGCCGCATGTGAATCCTGCATTTTGCACATTGCCTACTGTCCCGTCCTTCCATTGCTTTGCCTTCCCAGGCAACCAATTACAGTTCGCAACAACCCGGAGGATTTGGATTTTGTTTATTGAACAAAACATGATTCTGTTCTTCCCAGCGATTATTATAATTTGGATTAAGACCATAATGGCGAGGCCTGCACTCTATTGCACAAGCTCCAATCAGCAGAGACCTCAACAACCCCATATCCGCTATGTGGAGCTTGTTTTCTCCCCATGATTTTCGCTCCTGTCCCTTTCTGTTATTACTTTATTATTTGCCCCCACCCCTCATTTCCCTAATCCTCAAACCTTGTATTATCATTTTTTATTCGAACAAATTTAGCTGAGTTGATCAGAAATCACAATAGACCTTACAATTATTTTTAATAAAAAAAGTGATTATACATCAATAGATTATTCAACACTAGGGTTCTTACACCCATAGAGGTACTATTATTTTTTTAAGACTACTATTTAATATGTTTACCTATTGTAATCGCCGAACCATTTTGACATTTTTTTTTTAAATTTATATAGTTAGAAGAGTTGGGAGTTGTGTGGTCTACATTAAAAAAAAATTGGGTGTGGGCCATAATAAAAAATGAATGTACAAAATTTTTTCACTTGGCCTAAAATTAAAGTATTAGGTATATTTTATATATTTTTTAATTATACATTTATTTTACACTCTCTTTTGTTTCTATTATAGGGCGGTGTTTAGAAAAATTTGTTCATACTTAATATAAGGCACTTGATGGGATATTAATTATATTTTTATAATAATATTCTTGTTTAAACTCATTAATTATGAGAGAAGATATAATGTAAATTTGAAAAAAATTTATTTAAAATTTTATAACACTATTTATCTATTTTTTTAATTGAAACCATTAAAATATCTCCACCATTCTATTCTTATTCATTTCCCTAAAATCAAGGATAAAAACTTAACGTCCAGTGCACGAGTGTAATATTCAGTTATCGATTAATTTAAATACGAATTCCATTGTAGTTTACATAGGAGAAGCTCTTCCAATGCATTTATATTATTTTTGTTGGATATACCAAGCATAGTATAAAGGATATATGATATTTATTTTAATCAATTGAGTTTAAGTTTCGGGATCCCTGTCATTGCAGATAAAGCTTCTAAATCGTTTTATAAAGATTCAATGTCACGTGATATTAATTAAGAAACTTGAACGAAGAAGAAAACCCCAGCTTATAGGACAACCATTTGGATTGGATTTTATGGGTGAAAATGCTGCGGGTTAAGGTGTTCACACTTCATATGTCCACTGCATAGAATCATGCGCGAGATTATTACATTAGTCATTTCAACGCTTCTGGTCTCCTTAGTCCTCAGACATAATTACCATTACCACAACGTTACAATATCTAGAGTATTTTTTTTCTCTTTATCCAGAGTAATTGTTATTTCCCTTTTCTTTTGTCTTTTTATTTGATCTTTCTCAATCTAAAATATAAATCCAGTTTGATAACTTCTAGAGTGTTTAATTTTTGGTTAAATTATACATTACTCTTTTAAATTTTGAATCATATATACATAACCTCATTAACTTTTGAAACTTTATAATGAACCCCGCTCAACTCTTATATTTATGTTGATAACTCTATGTGATTAATTTTATACATTAATTATTTACACATAACTTAAAATTTAGTAGTATTATCGGTATATCAATCAAAATTTGGGAGCTTAAATGCACACAAAAATAAAATTTAAGAGGATATATAATTAATGATGCATTAACCTAAAAGCTCAAGGATATTTATTATTAAGTTTTAAAAGTTAAGAAAGTTATTTATACATGATTTAAAATTTAGGAAAACTGTGTGTAATTTAACCTTTATTTTTTTTAGTTTTCCTGTTTCTTTTATTTTTTATTAAAAAATATAAATCCAGTTTGATAATAATCAATTGCATTTAATTTTTTATTTTACCCTCTTTGTACATTGTACAATTAAATATCATGAGTAATTGATATAGTTTATGACTTTTAATAAGGCAATTTGGGAGAACATTATAAATTTTTTTTTTTAAATCTTCAACGAGTCAACTTCTGTTTAACTATCTTCGTTGATCGCTGTGCAAGTAAATAAACCAGGTCTATATTATGAATATGAGGAGTCATTGACTAAGTTTATGTTAAGATTTGACAAATAATTTAACCTACCATTTAAAAAAAAAATTTACCTAGGAATTGTATGCCTGCTTATATTTTTGAGAAAGGCTAAAAGTAAACATCATAATGGCAATAGAACAAATGAAGAAAAAGATCATCGAACATTTAATGGGGAAAATTGAAACAAACAAGGAACACAATCAAAAGATATAACAAAGAGAAGAGGAGCATTTTGTCAGAGAGTCACATTTGTTTAGTTCTTTCTCATGAAATTAACAGTCAGGCAAGCCGGATCTCTCATTTCTTTCAATTTTAGATTCCTCTGTTACTTCTACCATCACCTCATCATGTGACTTTTAGCCGTTAGGTACATGAATACTCACTCCGCCTCTGCAAAGCCATCCAAATAATCTCTCTCTCCTCTCTCTCTCTCTCTCTATATATATACATGGGTTAGCCAGGCCTGTGACCAGAACACAATGGATGTTATTGGTGGGATCTTTGTGTTTTGGTTAGTGATGAGTGCTGTGAAGTCTGAAGAAGTGAATTCTGTGCCTTCTTGTGATTTCCCAGCGATCTTCAACTTTGGTGATTCCAATTCAGATACAGGCTGCATGGCTGCTGCTTTCTTCCCTATGGCTTCACCTTGTGGTGAGACCTTCTTCCATGAGCCCGCTGGTCGAGCTTCTGATGGTCGCCTTATCATTGACTTCATCGGTATCACTAATCTTAGCTCTTTCTCTACTATTCTGTGTTTCTTTGTAAATCGACATCTTTCACAGATACAAATCAATCATATATTTAGTAATTAGTATAGTATATAACATGATCACAATCTTTTGCGTCAGTTTGGCTTCTTTACTTCATTTGTAACTTGTCTCAGATGAGAGTTCAGGTGAGAGTTCTTTTATTATATTTGAATGCAGCAAAGCAGCTTGGTTTTCCTTTGTTGAGTGCTTATATTGATTCAATTGGAACAAGCTATGGGCACGGGGCGAATTTTGCTGCAGGATCATCAACTATTAGGAGGCAAAATAGAACCTTCTTTGATGGAGGCACTCCATTCACTCTTGAGATTCAGACTGCACAATTTAACCAGTTCAAGGCACGCACTGCCAAGTTCTTCAATCAAGCTGGTTGGTTCTGATATAATACCTATGTAACACCTTTCATTCTCTCCCTTTCTCTTCTTCTTCTTCTTTTAATTTTTGGATTCTGCTAAAACTGAGTATGTCTGTGATTTGCAGGAGACAATCATTCCTGCAGAAGGCAATTTCCCAGGCCAGAGGACTTTCCGAAGGCTATCTACACC